TTTTTTCCATATTAAAACATTTTTAAAAGTTGTACTAAAATACACAAAATTATCATTTTAACTTGTTTTTTTTGTTTTGTTTTGGTTTTTTTTTTTGAGGGGGGTTGGTATTAGAAATTGAACCCAGGGCTTCAAGCCCTTGTATCTACAGGAATACTAACTTCCTACAGGCTTTTTTTTTTTTTTTTTTTTTTTTAATTTAAGCTATTACACCCTTTGTATTTTTATCTCATTAAAGATTCTTTTAGGGCCAATGAGATGGATCATCTGGTAAAGGCACTAAACCCCAGGCGTGATGGCTTGAGTTTGAATCCTGTAGAACTGACTCCCAGAAGCTGTCCTTTGACTTCTACATATATGCTGTAGCATATGCATATTCCCATACAGACACAGAAACACATACACGTGTAATAAAGCAATGTAATTAAAAAATTTTAAAGGTCCTTTTATAAAAAGGAGATGATGATGTCTTTTAAATTATGAAATATTTCTGTCATACAAAATACAAAGGATTGAGGCCAGAGTGATAGTTGAGCATTAAAGGCATTTGCCACCAAATCTGATAACTTGAGTTTGATTATCAGGACCTACATGGTAGAAGAAAGGAACCAACACTTGTTAGTTGTCCTCTGACCTATGCATGCACTCTGTGGTGCATATGCACAATCAGTCAATCAATGTAATATAGTTTTAAAGATATATAGGGTTGGAGATATGGCTCAGTGGTAGATGTTTGCCTAACATGTTTAAAGCCCTGAGTTAGTCCTGAGCAACAGAGAAAGGAATCTTTTCTTAGCTGTAAGTTACTACACAGGTGAAGAAGTAGCATCTTGGTATATACTAGAGCACCCCTTCTGCTTGCTTACCTCCACAGAACTTCTCTTTGCCTTACATTTCCTATGGATTCATCTGTTCTCTGGCCTTTCATGTGTAAACATGCATCTCCAAGCAGCTCTGCATCCATGCACAAAATGAAATCTTCTAAGGTTTATTTTATTTGTTTAGCATTTAATATTTTCGTGAGATTCATTCATACTTATGTGGATATCTGTAGTTCCATTCATTCTCAATTTGCATTGGAGTACACTGAATGACATTCTCATTACTCACTTTTTTGTTAAGATTTATTTATTTATCTTTGGGTTTTGACAGAGGGTTTCATTTTTTGCCTTGACTGTCCTAGACTGTCCTGGACAGGCTGGCCTCGAACTAACAGCGATCCGCCTGCCTCTGCTTTCCTGAGTGCTGGGATTACAGGCATGTACATTGATGTTCCATTTTCATGCACACCAGAAGAGGGAATCAGATGGTTGTGAGCCACCATATGGTTGCCGGGAATTGAACTCAGAACCTCTGGAAGTGTAGCTTTTAATCTATGCACCATCTTTCCAACCCCCTCATTACTCACTTTTAAAAACTTATACTTTAAAAAAAAAAATTTTTTTTGTAAAAAAAAAAACTTACACTTTTATGTATTTTGTGTGTATGTGTTCATAGGTGCATGTATGCCATTGCATGTGCATGGAATCAAGGACAACTTGTGGGTATTGGTTCTCTCCTTCTACCATGGGGCTCCCAGGGATTGAACTCAGATCATCAGGCTTAGTGGCAATCACTTTTACTAACTGAGCTATTTTCATTAGCCCATTAGTTTTCTTTTTGAGACCAGGCTGGCCTCTACCTCTGCCTCCCAAGTGCTAGGATTAAAGGCTAATGCCACCACGGCCTTGGTTAACTAATTGTTGTTGTTGTTATTGTTGTTCAGTTGCATGCTTGCGTTGTTGAAGGTCAGAGGACAACTGGTGCCATGCGTAAGCACCTTACCCGCTGAACCATATCACTGGCTCCACAGATTCTTAATTTTAATTTGTTGAAATTTATTAGATGTCTGTGGTTTTAGTATTTTTTATTTTGTTTCAGAAAAACCTTTTCCCAGGTATAGAACAGAGAGTTGCCTATGCATTCTTGCAAATGTTTTCTTTTTTCCATTTGGCTCTTTAATATGCCTGGGATTATTTTGTGTAGTGGTGTCTGAGTTTGGACCCAGTTTTTAAAAAAAGATTTATTATTTAAAAATCTTTGTTTTTACATTTATGAATGTTTTGCCTATATGTATATCTGTGAACCACTTGTGTGCCTAGTGCCTATTGAGGCTTGGAATTAGAGTTACAGGTGGTTGTTAAGTCAGGATAATTCCTGCCCTCTGCAAGAGCAACCAGTGCTCTTATTATGAAATTGCTGGGCCATCTCTTGAGTCTCCCCCCCCCTTTTGACATTTTGAGAGAGAGAGTGAGTGAGAATTGGTCTGTGGATATATACACATAGAGGCAGGTGCCCTGGAGCTAGAGTTTGCATATGGTTTTAAGACAGTGACATGGGTTCTAGAAAATGAACTTGGATCCTCTGCAAGAAAATGACTCTCTATTAACTGCTGAACCATTCTTTCAACCCTCTTTTTCGTCTGGGTGTTTTTTTTTGTTTTGTTTTGTTTTTTTGTCCATTCACTTTTTGGTGCTGAGAACTGAATATACTGTACCATTTAACTATAATCCAGCCCCTGTTTTTATTTTTAAAGAATAACCACTTAGATTGAGGACATTTATTAAATAATTTCATTTTTCAGTAACCAGTGCCAGCCTCTTATGTTTCACATTGTGTCATGTGGTTTATTGGGATCTGGCTTTCAGTAGAAGTTTTTGCTTTTGCTTTCTTGAGAATGTAAAACTTTAGCAGTGGCAAATTAGTTCCCAAGAACAAAACACTGCTAAGGTTATGATTCAGGTTCAACCACTTGCCTCACATATATGAGGGCCCCAGTTCAACATGCAGCACTGGAAAACAACAAAACTTTTATCTTTTAATAGTTAACTTTCTCTCTAAAATAACCAATGTGTGGGAACCATTACCCTCAACAGCACCAAGTCTAGAAGTCTACTGATGCCATTAGCAGTTACTGTATCAGCCCTGAAAGCACTCAGAGATGGTCCCTGTGTCATCCTGACAACCTAGGCATGAGGTAGTGGCTTTCCTCAGGACAGAGATCTGAAAAAAAGACTGGTTGAGTCCATGTAGCTTTCTGACATTCTTTGTTTTTAAATCAGAGTTGAAAAATTTTTAATAAAAAGATATTTTCAGTATGTTTTGTACATGAGGATTAAGAGAAAAAGAGGAGAGCACTCAAAGACAGATACACAAAAAATTATGGTTTTAGGCTTCTTTTTTTTTTTTGGCCGTTTTGAGACAGGGTTTTTCTGTTTAGCTTTGGCTGTCCTGGAACTTCCTCTGTAGACCACACTGGCCTTGAACTCTGCCTCCCAAGTGCTGGGATTAAATGCATGCGCCACTACCTTCTGGCTGGGAACGGGCTTCTTTAAGAGCGTTATCTACTTTCTGACATTATTGGCCTAAATAGCACTGGCCAAAAAGTAAGTGCTTTTCTCCAGCTTGTTTTTTGACATTGAACTTAAATTTTAGAACATTTTGAGCCATGAATATTTCTTTAGGCACCTGACAAAAATACAGCCACTACTAAGTGCCACTGGTCCAGCTAATGATCCAGAAAAATGGAAAGCCGTGAAGAAAAGCAGCCAGTGAGCTGTCCTTTTAAGACCTTCACCACATGATTTCTTTCTGCTCCAGTAATTTGATCCATTTGCAACGCAGGCTACATTGCTGGCTTTGTGGAACTGGAGGTGAGCAACAGACCAGACCTCTATGATGTGTTTGTGAATCTGGCTGATAGTGAGATCACCATCGCTCCACTTGCAAAAGGTGACTTTTCTGTTCCATTCTGTATTCCAGTGTTAACACAAAGCACAAGCCAAGCAGCTATATAGTTTGGGCTGACTCACTCAAGCCAGTATTTCTCAGTGTTCAGAGTGTACAATTCATTTCTCCGGGCCTACATGTGTTAGACAGTTGTGATTGCTGCTCATAACTTTTGTGTGATCTCTCACCAGTTCCCAAATGTGGGAGCAGCTGACTGCTGACAGACCCTGTTAGAGTCTGATGCTGTGAGGGTTTTATCTAACAACTTCAAATGAGTAAAACCAGAATTGTTCTTTTCACTTACTTTGCAGTTTCAAATATGACCATGTTCATGTGGAAAAATGAAAGTAGAGCCCAACCTTAGGAAATATTACCTCTTGTAAGACTAAAATGATAGCAAATGGTCATGGCCAGAGCCAGAAAGAATGGCACTGCTTGTTTTCTGCTGTGATCTTCAGAATGCCCCTGTTCCAATTTGCACCATCTGAATAGGGTGTCCCTTGCTGTGAGACAAGATGATGCAACAAGAGCATCATTTGTAATTGATGTGACCAAGGCAGCTTCCCTTGCATTTTTCTGAGGATCTAAATGTGCTGTGTACTCTGCTGGCACCTGAGGGCCTGGCAGGAAGATCTTCTTTCCCAACATTCCTGTCAGAAAAATACACTTTTTTTTTCTTTTTTTCAACAGAGCTATACTAGAACTCATTATGTAGACCAGGCTGGCCTTCACCTCACAGATATCACCTTTCCTCTGCATTCCTTCACAATGCTGGGACTAAAGGCGTGCACCACTTAGATATTTAACTCTAAAGACTTGGACAAGGTAGTCAGGCTTTTGCCTTCAAGTATTTCACTTGTACTCGGATTTTTCATTCAGTTCATCAGGTAGACATGAAGGGGAAATCTGGTTTGGCATTGGTGATCGTATCTTACATTGTGCTGTTAAATTTGTGTTGTGAATAAAATGGAAGCCTGGAAGGTTATCTGCATCCTTTTGAAACGTTCTCTAGTGTGGTTTTTCAGATTTTCAGTTGAGTAGCTTATTTTTTATTGTATAAAATTCTAAGTCTTCATACAACAATATTCTTTCTGCTTTCATCAGAGGCCATGACGATGGGCAAACTGCATAAAGAAATTGGTCAGCTCATTGTGCAGTCTGCAGAAGACACAGAGAAATCAGACAGCCAGGTTATACAGGTAACCCTTGATCTGCCTTACAAAGCAGCAGCAGTCTCATTGCACACTCTTAGGGCATCATAGTAGAGTGAAGAGTCGGGGGACAAGCCAACTGTGTCGTAGTGGGCGAGATAATGGTGGGTGGGGAGGTAGGTCATTACAGGGGCTGGTACTGAAGGTAGCCCCAGTGGTGAGAATGGTAACCCCTGAATAGTCTAGAATGCCTGTGCATTTTATCCGCTAAAAGAATTTTCATGAAGAAGCAGTACCTTTGGAATCTAGTCTCCACTTTTGAACTCTGAAGAGTGAGCTCCTCTGGGGATGTCTGTCTGTTAAGCTAAGAGAGTATCCATATGCATCCTATGCCCTCACCAGCCTAGGAGGACAAATGGCTTTTATTTCCTGAGTTTTTCTGTATGGTGCCAAATCCCTTTTTCTGACGAGATGCTACTCCTGACTGCTTTTTGTCTGTTTTTCTCTCTCTACTGAGGAATACACTCCCAGCCTAGCTACTTCTGGGATCTGCCCTGTTAGCCCCATCTCAGAGCCTAGGCTTATCTTCATCTATGGAACCGTAGGAGCATCTCTGAGAAGTAGGCTCTACTTGCTCACCTGGTCCCACCTGACACATTTCTTTCTGAATCTATCCATCTGGTCAGGGTTTCTTGAACTGTTGGCAATGTAGACAGTGCAATAAAAATCCTGCCTTCAAGGAGTCTAATTTTTTCCCTGCATTTATTTATTCATTTATTTATTTAATCACTTTACAGCCTGACTCCAGCTCTCTCTCTCCTCTCCTCCCAGCCCCACCTTCACACTACCCTCCTCCTATTCTCCTCTCTTCTTCTCAGGGAATGGGAGGCTCCCAAGGGGTACCAACCCACCCTGGCACCTCAAGTTGCGTCCTCACCCACTGAGACCAGACAAGGCAGTCCAGCTACAGGAAAGGATCCAGAGGCAGGCAACAATCAGAGACAGCCCCTGTTCCCATTGTTAGGGGATCAACTGGGTCTCAGGAATTGAGTTGTCAGGCTTGGTGGCTAGCTTTTACCTGGTGGGCGTGTGGTGCCTTTCTTTTTCTTTTTTTTTTCAAGACCGGCTTTCTCTGTAGTCCTGGCAGTCCTCAAATTCAGGAATCTGCCTATCTTTGCCACCCAAGTGCTGGGATTAAAAGCATGCAACCCCACACTTAGCTTTTCTTTTCAAACAGAATTCATTATGCAGCCCTGGCTTGCCTGAAACCTACTGTGTAGACCAGATTGGCCTTGAACTTACAGAGATCTACCTGCTTTTGTCTACCACTGGGATCAAAGTTGTGTGCCACCATGCCTGGCCTCCACAATGACTAGTCTTATTATCAATACATTATATGCTTTAAAATGACTAAAATGATTGTAAATACATATGTGACATTGATTTCCTAAGTTACTTTGTTATAAGAATTTATGACAGCCAGGCTTAGTGGTGCATGACTTTAATCCCAGCTCTTGGGAGGCAGAGGTAGACAGTGCTGAGTTGGAAGGCCAGCCTGGTCTACATTGTGAGTTCCATGACAGCCAGGGAATCCCTGTCTTAGGGTGGGGTGGGGTGGAATGGGATAGGGTGAGAGTGGCAGGGAGAATTTATGAAGTTAATCTGATAACAGGAGAATCCTAGGAAATAACTATTCACATTTTAAGATTCTAACATACTATATTTTTCCATTCTATTAAAGGACATTGCCCAAAAAACAAAAGAAATCTTCACCAACCTGGCACCATTTTCAGAAGTATCAGATGATGGGGGAAAGATCATTCTCAATGTTGAGGCACTGAAGCAAAAGCGGTTCCCACCTGCGACAGAGAACTTCCTTTATCATTTAGCAGCAGCTGAACAGATGTTGAAGGTCTGACTGTCTAGTGTCTTGCTTGGCCTCTAAAGAGCTTCCCTGTTATTCCTAGTACACCCTGACCTTATACAGTACTGGAATTACAGAGGAACCCTCTGTTTTCAATGTTTCAAGATCTGACCTGAGAAAGACAGTGCTGGACAGTCCTAATGGTGGAGCCATATAGATCAGCACATGAAAGCCATCATTGTTCATCCCCATTTGTCTCGTTGTAGCCATAAACTTAATGGTTTACTTTCAGAAAGCTGCCTCAAAGTTCGCTTTGTATTCTTTTAGGAAAAAACTTGAATTCCTTATTTTACTTTCTGAGTTTAACTACTATGTTTTCTGCAGAATTGTCTAGAAGGTCACCCAAGAGATAATGTAGTTGTACTTTCTTGTGAAAGAAAATGCTGGGGGGGGGGGGTTGAAATTTTGCCTATATTATGAAGTTTTTTTATGGGTTTTATACTTGAGTAGACAACTCCAACAACCTTTATAACTGCCCTAGGTGTAAGTATTTGTCAAACATCAGCCATTAGTACTCTTGGACTAACTGCTGCTAGCAGTCTTTGGAAAAGAGATAGAAGCAGCTCCCTTTAAGGGTAAACATGCATAAGAAACAATACCTTGGTTGTTTTTGTTTGCAGTGCTGGAGTTAGAACCTGCAGCCTTGAATATGCCAGGCAAGTGCTTTCCCACCAAGCTAAACCCCCAACCCAATAATGCTTTCATATATTGGTAAAGGAACATGAGAATCAAATTGCAGAGGCCAAAACTAGACAGGGCCTTCAAGTGATGTCAGTAAAAGTGATTTGGCTACATCATCAAGGACTCTGTTATTAGACATTCTTGAGATCTTAAAATTGCCAAACAAGCACAAATGTCTAAACTTTAATTATGATAGGCCACTTCCTTAGTAGAATTGAGAACATTCAAATTTTACCAGGAAACATGTTTGCAAAAACTTTATCTAAGTTGGGTATTTTTTAAAACTTTATTGTTAGACGTTTAAGTAAAAATAAAAATAGCATTTCCATTTTGTCCTTGGGTGTGAACAGGGAGGACCTGAAAGAAATTGTTTACTGTAGCTAACAATTGAAGATTAAATTTGCACTTTATGAAAGTAACTACTGATGTCTCATTTTCTTGTCTTGCAGTATTGTTAAAATTACAAATTTATGGTGCAGTAGAAACATTTTGATAAAAGTTTTAAATAGTAGTAAGGCAGACACTTTGGTGAGTTTAGTGTGGAAACAGTAACGAAATATGTGTGCATTTTCTCTAAAAACAGTCTGCTAGGAAATAGGACCAGCCAACAGGTCTTGTAGTAGTGTGGCCAGGATAGGGCCGATAAGAGAAATGAGGTACTATGGAGGCCAATGGAAGGGGTACTTTGCTCAGTATTATGATCTCTCAAGCCTCCAGAGCACAAGGAACAGGACCAGAAAGCCCACAAACTCATGTGAGGAGCCAGTTGCTAGGTCCTGCAGGACAAAAAAAAGGGAATGACAAGAGATGGGTGAGATGGAGGTTTTCAAAGG